ATAAAGCACTGACATAAAGGTAAGATGTGTTCACCTCACATCATGATGCTTCCGACGTAAAATAAAGATAAATGCATGTCACGTAATAATGTTTTGATATAATAGAAATAAACACTCTCAAAAAGGAATGGACTTTTGACTTCATGTAATGATAAGATTAATTATAAAACACAATTTGCTTGACATAATGCAATTTTGACCTCGCATATTAAAGAAATGAAATGATCTAAAGAAGCATTCATTTCACGTAATAAAGTTTTAACACAATGTAAACACATAACCCCTTCACATAATGGATTTTTTACTTCATGTTATGAAGTGCTGACATAATAAAAGAATGCATTTACTTCATGTAATGCGGCATTGACATGATGTTAAGATATTTTCACATCATCTCATAAAAAATGACATAACGTAAAGATATGTTCACATCACGTAATGGTAAATTGACATAATAAATGCATAGTTGTATGCTATAAGGCAGTGATGGCGTTCCATATACATCCATCTTTTAAAATGTTTACAATGCATTATTTGACAACAGATTTTATATTACGTGTGACAATGTAGCTTGAAATCAATTTAGATCGTAGAGCAGACCACCTCTACAACAACTCCCCCCATCCCACCCACCCCGAATAATGTTTAACTCTTTAGTATGCAGTGTAGAGATGATTCTTCTACAAGTTAAATAAAATCAAGGATCTTTAACATAAGGTTCTCAAAATATATAAAAGTAAGGACATATTTTAAGCCCACAAAAGTATTACTAAAAAGGTTTATCACTCATCTTACAGATATTGATTGATTTAGTCAGGCAAGCTTTTTAAAAAGCTGTTACTCGTAAGACACTTAATGACTTACACAGTCATCAAAAAATCAATCTCCAAGACTCTTGAGCAAATGCTCTGACCACATCGTCATATAGGTGACCAGATAACATTTGATCGATCTGCGCAGCAATATTTAAGAAATAAACTACGTTATGTAGTGAACGTGGCGTTATGAATAGCAATTGCTCTGCTGGCATATTCCATGATGCGCGCTAGCGCATCATGTAAAATATGCCAGCAGAGCTATTGCTATTCATAACGCCATGTTCATTGAATAATCATTGTTTATTACTTATATTTGCATTCTTTGATGTTCTCAAGGATATCAGAGGAAATCCTGGCTTACATAAGGATGCACTTGTTGTCTTCAGTAAAGAAATACACATGGCTATAAAATCAGTATACCTGATCATTGCACCTTTTCTCTAATAAATCACGTACAGTATTTGCCTCTTAAACACAGTTATCTGGATACAAGCTGCACTGTCGTCACATTCTCTTTATTTTTGTTTTGATGCAGTTGTGATGTCATCGATCAACGTTATTTAAACCCTCTGACAAAAATCAAGAGTTTCACCTTATGATGAAAAAAGGGAATGTTTTAATAATGATTATGACTCCAGAATGTTTTTCTGTGATTTTTAACGTTTTTTTTTATTTCTTTCTAAGAGCTGAAATCGTTCTTGAAATAGACATACTATAAAGAATTTTTGCTTTTTCTGAACGTTTTATCACCCAAGTGTGAAGAGTTATCGTTCTTTGTATAAATATGCAAAAAAATGATAAGAAAAATAAAATTATGGCAGTTCTCTTCAATTTTTAAAAAGTTTTATTATACAATTAAATACATTGACCAAAATTAAATTTTTAAACATATAAATCTGCAGTTTTAAATTGTTCTGAATTTCTTTTTTTTCCAAAAAATATTATTAAAAACTTATATTTATTCCTTTAACGAAACATTTCATATATATACTTCTCAACACTCGTCATAATGTGTTGTAGAATTCGTTCTACACAATTGCACTCATAGCAGGAGCAGTTACGTCTATAGTGATATGAACGCAGTTGGAGTCTGCAGGTTGATAGTGGGAGAGAGCAGTGGATATGCAATTTATATATTTATGGCACGCCAAATTCATAAAAATGAGCTACATATAGTTTCACAGTTGATAAATTAGGTTTAGCGATTGTAAATTATAGTTTACAAACCATGAACTATAGTTAACAATTCGGTAACTATAGTTCTTTTTTGTAAAACTATGTTTAACGGTTGTTAACTACAATTTACGAAGGCTTATTTAAGTTTATCTGTCTGTAATAAAACGTTAACAGTAATTTACATGTCTGAGATGTAGACTGTTATTATAATAATGCGGGTGTATATGGATCAATACAAACAAGTAGTTGTTTTTAAAGCCTATTGATTGTTAAATTAATTTTTTTCATGACTAACGAATACTTTTGCGATCTAGTAGACGTTCGATGTAATTATTCAATAAAACATGCTTGTTAAATATCACCCGTGCGTATCACTTTGTTTTTAAACCTATTGATTGTTAAATTAATTTTTTTTATAACTAACGAACACTTTTGCGATCTAGTAGACGTTCGATGTAATTATACTCAATAAAACATGCTTGTTTAATTTCACCCGTGCGCATCACTCAGTCATTATCTTTAATCAAGGTACTTGCGTAGTAAACATCTTAAAATTTATTAATTCATCAATTATATGATTAAAAATTCAACATTTTTGACTACGCTATACTTTTTTTAAAATGGAACCGGAAATTAAACAAGCTAATTCAGAGAATCTGTATCCCCCGCTTAGGGAAAAAGTAAACCATGCGCAGTTCGGGGGGAGGGGTGGGGAGTCGGATCTCCCTGACTGAATTTGTAGAATTATTAAATGTATACATGTATACTGAAGCAAATAAAATATGTCAATATGGGTATAAAGATTTGATTGCTTATTCTTAATTATGTGTATAGAAGATTCTTTTTATATGGAATATTTATCATACTGTAATTATGATTTTATGAGTTTGTACAAGCTAGACCTCTTAAATTTTTCATTTCACATGCTGAATACTATCATTTAGTAAAAAAAAATATTTCGGAAAAAAAAGAAAATGGATCGTCCGGGAATCGAACCCGGGACCTCTCACATGTGAAGCGAGAGACATACCACTACACTACATAACTGCTGTACATCACCGAATTTTCTATGCAAAGATGGAGTCATTGTCTAAATTTTACAAAATGCGTGGTCTAATTAAGCCTTTATCAAACAGTTCTAATAGATGTAATAAGAATATAAAGTCCGCCGAAAACCTGTTTTATACGTAATAACTCTCCTCGTGCCTCTGTGCTAAAGAAAGCGACTTGTAATACAATAAATAATAATATAATAATGAAACAAACGGGGCGGGACACTTTGAGAGGGGTGATAGAGGTCCTAGGGAGTTTTGGTATGAAATTACATTGCAACAATTTTAAATCCTCTTGAAATATCGTCCGGAAAGGATATTGTTACTAGTACACACAGAGAGAATGTATAAATTTACGACCTTGAACTGTAACTTTTTGACTTCAAAATCGATAGGGGGTCTTCCTTAGACCACAGGGAGTTGTTATGTAAAATTTCATTGCAAAGGCTCAAAGAGTTCTCGAGATATCGCGCGGAAACGAAAGTGTTATAACAGACAGAATTTGCGAATTTATGACCTTGACCTTTGACCTGTTGACCTCAAAATCAATGAGGTTCTTCTTTAATTCATAGGTAGTTGCTACGCAAAATTTCATTGTGAAAGCTCAAAAGGTTCACGAGATATCGTGTGGAAACGAAAGCGTTACAGACAGACAGAAAGACGGACGGACGGACAGACCAAAATTCATATCCCACTTTTCAAGCGGGGAACAAAAAAATCTGAATGCATATACTCTGTTATCGCGATCAGTCCAGAGTTTTCTTATTATTCAATCGGGCTCAAAATCAACACAATATATAGACTCTACTTTCCTGTCAGATATGCGCGTTATACATGAACAGACTTTGAAGTTTCGTAAGATAGAGACGGGAAATATCAGTCTACATAAATATACCTAAACAAAAATGCCTACAAGTACTGTTAAAAAATGTATGATTTTTCCTTTCCACGAATTCAAACGACCTCGATTTGCTGAAAATTGATCAAATCGCGATATTTTCCGATCGCAATTTTAACCTGCTATACAGTATTCAAAGACGAAAACTGAAGTTAAAGCAACATTTTTCCATCACAATTTCCTTTTTCCCTGTCAAAAACACACGCTTCTATGAAATTATACACATGAACAACAACAAATTGCATGTATTACCATTTTTGTAATTCAATTTTCACTTATAATTTTATCAGTTACGAAAGGTTTTCCTGAAATTAAATGCCGGTTTTACTGTAAACGTCTTTATTTTTACATGTTTAATATTTCACGATTTACTACATGTACATACTTGGTTGTTTTATTTTCACGGACACTGATCATCCCTCAACTGAATATTTGCAATTTTATGAATAAAATTTAAAAATAAATTTAAAAGCAAAGAAGAGCATAGTAAAAATATGAAAAAAGCAACCAGTAAATTTAACCCGCCATTGTCTTGTCATGACCTAAAATTTTCTTATGCATTTTACCAAGTCAATATTTTCCTATTAGCAAGTAGTAAATACTCTGTATTAAAATGTATAAATATATAAATAAATGCAAGTGGACAATATTCATGATGACTGAAAATTCTTTAATTGCAAACACAGCGAAATTAAAATCACCGCAATGATTTCCACTTCTACCATATCCCTCTTCTATACACATGCATATTTACAAACTCTCTCGACACCTTCTTTCCTGTGAGAAACGTTTTGATGTAATAAGCCAATCTTGCTGCTCAATGGCTGTAAGTGCCAAGTATAGTTCAACATTTGCAATTCTCCACCGGCAAGTGGTGGCGTCTTCATATGAGTGAAAAATTCTCGAGAGTGACGTTAAACAACAAACAAATATACAAACAACACAGCAACACAAATGAAATATGTCCTTTATTAAAAAGTGGTAGAATTTATGCCAAAATTTGACTGATACAAATAATAAGGTAGCAACACCTTTTGAACAATGACAATTTGATATATATTTAAAAAATTAATAATAAAAGTACTTATTGCTCACAGAAAAGGGTCCATAAAAACTTTAAACATTTTCTGGAACTTCTTTGAAACTTAACACAAAACTTTACCCCTGGTTAATAAAAAATAAACCCTACTCTACTTCAATTGTGGTAAAGGACCTCTAGGCCTATGGATCAAACCCTTGTCACTTCATTCGAATTGTTCTGTCATTTTTGGTGTAATTCTAATTCTTACCCTAATTAAAGTGATAAAAAAAGACGCACATGTGGAAGTAATCTGTCATGGCATGCAAAAGTAGGATAACTATATTTTATCCCTCATTTAGTCGCCTCCCTTGTATTACCGTGTGTAATACAGTCATCCCAGTCAGGCCAAAATTCTGCTTTCATCCTCTCACAGTAATTACAGAGATTTTCGAACTCTGAAAAAATATAAAAGTTACAAATAAAAGAACTGAAAATAATTAAACAGATTGGAGACATTTATGGCATATACAAGGGTTGTCCCAGAATTCCGTAGACAAGCGTTGTTTTGTAGGAATACGATGTCATATATTAATGAAACTTTGTACAAAGATTAAACCAGCACTATCTAATAAATTTATGAACAAATATGGAATATCTACACAAATTAACCCTATTTAAATGATACATTTCATTGTCTGGTGTAGGAAGGCGGCGCAATACCCCAAAGTTGCAATTAAAAAACAGTATATCTCAAATCCTTCAGAAAAGTAATGTTTACCCTGTATGTTTTGATTAGAAATGAAAATTTTTAAAAACTGTTTGATTAACTATATTTCTTAAACTTTTTGTGTTTATTCTTTAATAGATATGAATTTTATAACGTTTTATATACACTCGGTTGAAATCCGACTTGAAATTGAAAAATGGCGCCGCACTGGACTATGATCATGTGTTCTAATCCTGAGTTTCTCTGTTACAGAAGTGTACAAGTCATAAATGTTTGGTAGACAAAGAAATTTTTTCTGGACCTTAATTTTTAGAATGACTGAATTGGTTTCTCTATGTATATGAAAAACGGAAACTAGAAAAAAGACAGTCATTAGAACTGGGCAAGAATGCTACTTTCAACTCCATCAAAGAAAACAGACGAAAAGCCCGCTGTAATACAGGGTTTTCAAATTATTATAATTTCATACATGTACAAGCATATACTTTGTTTACATATTTTAATGTTCATATATTACTAATTAAGATACTTTACATTTATTGCTATAATCGTTTTGTTTCATTAAAGAATCTGATTCTGGTAATAGGAATATTTTTTCCAAAATTTGAATCGTTGACCCTTGTCTTTTTTTGACGTTACTGATTGCTCCGGTTGTTAGAGAACGATATCACTTCATATCTTATTTCTCAAATTGTTTTCAAGTAAACATGATACAATATTGTAACTTATCTGCCAAGAACACGCTTTATCCTCCCAGAAAATTTCATTTTATTAAGATACATAAATTTCCTTAAAAGACATGAACTCAGTCTACGTAATTTTGGGACAACCCTCGTATGTTGATAGCAAACGGTAATCAAGCTTAAAAGTGCATCGTAACAATAAAAATTGAGAGCCTCTCTAAAACATCGGAGTTGGGATCAGGTGCCATATGTATCATGGTATCCTTAATAAAAATCTTCTAAGCTTACTTTTGAATTCCCTTTCTACAAATAAACCGAATCCATGCCAGTAGCACTGGGAAAAAATTCCAAAAATAGCACAATCCGACTGACAAGGCTTCTCTCCAAGAAAGAACTTTTTCTTCCCTAAAACATAAGTATTATTATAATAGTATAATACCAAATACAGTATCTTGTTCAATCAAAATTGGACTGTATATTGTTAAAATACATACATTTTCGTGGGACAAATTTTAAAGAAAAATATGTATTAATGGAGATTATATTTCATGTATGAATACTTGTTGCGTTGTCATTATTCCGGGGTATTTATAATGGAATTTTTTATATCATGGTGGATATGAATCTTTGTTCTCTTCTAATAGCTTGAAAACAACGAAAATTAAACTCCCACGTAAATTTGAGACTTCTCACTCTTTAAGGATGCTGGGGGTCAACAAATTAACCATAAATTAACCACCAGATTTAACTTATTTTTTTTAGATACGGTATCTTAAGCTGTCAACTATCATTTGGCAAAGGAAAAATTCATACATTTTAGTTTTAAAATTTGATCATTTTTGTATATTTTTATATAGTGCTCTTCTTTTAAAGGAGATCAAAATAGTCTGAAAATGGTAGCCACAACCCAGCCTCGTTAAAAGACATACTATTTAATTGTACATAAAACACAACAATATAATTTCACCTACCTAAGAAAGAAGAGAAGTGCTGGAGACATTCAGTAATAAGTGTTTCTACCTCCTCTTGAGAATGGCGACCCATTCCTTGCGCATGCGCTTGTTTTGTTGCTGCACGTTTCCACATTATTTTTTCTATCCAAGAAACTTCGACGTATTGAAAAATCTCTCCTTCCGTGTCGTATAGATGACGTTGTACAAATAGCGCCCTGTATTAAAAGTAAAATAACATTTATTGAATAATTTAGACCCCACCATAGTCTATTACATATATTATGTACTGGTGAAATAATATTTTTTTGGAACATAATCATATAATCAATTCTTATACTTAAACTATACCTATTGAAATAAAAGGTCAAGAATCAATCATATTTACTATTTAAAAAAATATGGTCTTTATGGACATGAAATGAAAATAAAAAATGCACGGTCTCCTTAACTAGCCTAATTACTACCAGTAGAAATATTCTTCCGCCACTTTTTGAAGAGAATAAGCAATGGCCTTTTCTTCGTCTGTGAAATCTTTGTCAAAATCTATGTTGAGTGTTTTATTGATGAACTTGATACAAAACTCTGAATCCGCCACCTCCTTCCCATTGTATTCAATCCATGTCATTTTCCCTTTGGAACTCATGTTAGTTCCACTGTCGAATTCATTCTGTGAAATTTAATATTTTTTTTAAATGCAAGCAATGCTATTAATTTTATAAAGCAACAACATACTACAGTATCCATTTTATGAATTCAGTTTGGCTTGAAGCAAGAATTCTCCATGAGACATCATACAAACAATCATTCGACGTTTTAAATCTTAGCATGTCCTTTCGTAACAACGTTATACTAGTATTCATTTTATATATAAAACACCAAACCTGATATGGAACTTTTGCCATCCTGAAATAGGTCTCCAGTTTTACAGAAAATGGAGTAAAGCTAGGGGCAAACGGTCCTCTAGATATAGTATGGTGAATAATCATGTCTCTTGGATACGATATCCTAATTTAAAAAAAAGAGAGTAAAATTACACTGTAATAATTGAAACGGTCATTTCACTGGTTCATACCAATGGTTTTAAAAGTGTGTTAGGGACATACTCTCCAAAAATCTGACAAACATATAGAAATAAATATACCCGAATAATTCAGCTAAAGCATAACTTTCATCATGGGATAAATTAGACATTTTCTTATTGACTGCTTTATGTTTCTTAGCTAACAGACGGTACATGTAATTCTTCTTTTTCTACCATATGATGTTACATAACACATTGAGGTATCACGTTGTGTTATGTGAGAAATATATTTTTATAAGAACATGTTTTGAGTACGATCAATTTTAAACCTGAAAGAATCAACTCACAAACAAATTGATGCTATGGGGTTTTCAATTACATCATTTAAAAGTCAACCGCATTTCGTAAATTTGATGGTGGATATAATGACCTTGTTAGCAATAAAACCTCATTTATTCGTATATGGGCTGACATGCAGGGATATGGTCAATTACACAGGAAAGTAATTAATTGAATTACAATTACTTTCCCAAAACCTTCAATTAAGGTAGGACAAAACACCCGTGGATTCTATTTTAACCCATTTCCTAAAAAGTACCGGAGGAAAGAAGAATAATATTACTATATTGACAACAATGAATGATCCCTGTAAGAAAAATAATAAGTTTTGGCATGTTTGCGTCATATTATGTGAAAAAATCAGAGAATCCTACATATTGGTCATTTGGGGGCTTACATTTTGGAATGCTTTTATGCTAACTAAGTGTAATAAACGAGCATGTGACAGTCTGTTATAAAATGCAGTGTAATTTTTATTCCATACAAAGTAGAGAAATTATATTTGGACACAAATATAAGGAGTCTCCATTCTTTATGTACTACTAATGTCAAGGTCATATCAAGAGGTCAAAGGTCAAATTTTGTGACGTCATCTACTTAATCTTTTAGGTTTTTTTTGCCATTGAAATTTTTTTGATCGCAAAAATATCTGGAACCATCGGTTAAATTTTCTTTATTTTTACACATTTTATTCTAAGACCCATTTGAATCATTCTGTTGATTTTTTTGTAAAAATTGAATAATACATTTTTTTCTTAAGAAAACTTAATCTGTCGGATATTTACAGGTGAATTTTCTATTCCGACGCTACGTAAGTTCTATTTTTACTTAATATTTTACTCAAATTTTCCAGTATCAAGTTGACTTACTAACTTAAAGCAACAAAAAGGTTATCTTTATTAAAAGTATTACACAAATTTGCAATAGATCAATGGATAATTCTAAAAGAAGGCTCATTCTCAAGTCTAATGTCTGATTTCACAATCTTACAGGAGACTGATGGGCCATATTTCAGACTATGTGGGCAAAAAATGTGCGGTTGAATTTCTTTCATATCATGTATGAAGAGAGATTTTGTATCCTAGAACAAAATCTCAAAGTTTCAGGAAAATTTAGTTTGAGGAAAAATTTGGCCTATCTATTCTGGATTTTGAAATGTAATTAATTATATTACAGTTACTTTGTAAATGTAATTAATTAAATTACAAATTACAGGAATAAAAGTAAATAGTCATGTACAATTGTAAATTCCTTTATATTTATCCCACTAATTATTTTAAGAATCCGTAGGAGAAGAAGGTGCAGAAAAAAATTACAAGTTCCTTAACTTGCAGATTTGCATGAAAAAGATTGTGCAGATGTACTAAAATGAGCCTCACACTTGTTGATAAGGAGTATCTCTACTATCAAAAAAAAAAGCTTGGCAAATGTAATTTATCAAAAAGATCAGCCGAATTATTTTGTGTATTATAACGCCAGTGAGAACTCTGAATTTCCCCTACTTTCACTTTCATTTTTAGAGGTTCCCACAGACGGATGCATTTTGCCGGAAAACGAACCTGACATGCAACCTCGAGATTGTAACCAATGAAAGACAACTTGATTTGCTTTGCTTTGAGGGGTCACTCACTGATGAACGAAAATTAGGGACATTGCTATGAGAAGAAACGTTAACATTGTCGCCTATGGGAAAACAATTAGTGAACTTTATGTGTACCCATATTATTTTACCACATTTTTTTTTACAATAGCAATAATATTATTAAAATCTTCTTACAATTTTCAAATGTTGTGTCCCCTAACCTAATATCTATTAGATTTGAAGACTGTCAAGCTGAAGATTCTTTCTATTGGGGTATTTATGAGAAAAATGAATACATGTATAAACTCTTTAGTAGAAAGTTAACTTATCGTTTTACCTTAATTCATCTGTTAGAAATTTGGAATCAGTTTTAAGCTTTCCAATAAATTTATGTTAAACGTACAGTTGATGCTTTTTGTCTTAATATTTCCTTATTTCAGCATCATAAGCTTATCACAAAGTGTGGGTATTTGAATTATTCTGTGCCAAACTACAATTTAAAGTCAAAGAATGTGTATAAAAAATACCAAAAGACGAAGTCAAAATGTGTGAAAATTTTTATTTAGGAATAAGTACATAATAGCCCCAGGACACTTTAATTAGCACCTGTTAATAACTTCTATTACAAGCTGAAAATATGGCATACAAAAGGATAAGAAGTATTGGACTTTTTTATTTTCACATGGATTCATTAATTCAAAAATCAAAATATGAAATCATCTTTACATACTTAACAAAGATTAATTTGATTTAAATGTTTAGAGAAATGAAAAGGGGCATTATAAACAGCAATTTATTTAAAGAGTGAAATATGACTATGTTAAAATTCTTTTAAAGAATTTTAGTATAAAAATATTTGGTCGAAACGATCAGTTAAACCTTTCTTAAATAATGTTTATGAGATTGAGGGGGTGGGGACTATTTTTTATTTATTTAAAATCAGTGTAATTGAATGTAATTGAAAAGTTATTGTATGTCTTTTTTGGAAAGTCATTAGTTAAATTACAATTACTTGTAATTTAACATTTGACCAATTACAAAATACTTTCAATTACATTGCAATTTGTAATTAATTACAGTCAATTACCATTACACATTACCATTATCCCATTCCTGCTGACATGTTTTATATATCGTTAGTCCTTTCTTTGTATACATAATTGATCACGGGCTTTTTCGTCTACTTAAGCTATACATAGGGCTCGCAGCGGGTAAAGAAGGGATGCTTAAACTACTCTTCCCAGGCGATCATTTCTTTCTGGGTCCGTGGTCTATGTATCTTCTGTTCACAGATTTGTATATTTCATTTGATTTCGTCGGATCATAATCTTCACCCTCTGAATTTCATATAATTTATTTTTAAACTACGACTGAGATGTAATTAAAACGCTCGGGGGAAAAATATAATTAAAGTATTTCATTACCACATTTCAATACAATACTTTACTAGTATTTCATCAACGAATCAACTCGTAGAATTGTATATCGCTGTTGATTAGATCTTCATTTGACTCCTCTGGCTTTCTATATTTAAGTATATAGAAAAAAAGACACAAAAATTGTTTTACAGGAAACCTACTTGATTTTCTTCTTGCATCTATTATATACATTGATGACAACTACTCCAATAACGGCAGCCACACAAATCTCTTTTAGATGAGCAACTATGGTTGTTTTCACGCCATCCATGTTTGATCTGCTTATTGTAAATTATTATAATATCCTTGTCGTCGCTCTATTATACCACTGCAAATGTTCAAGGTCAGCCTGTATATCGCTCTAACGTACACGGATGCATTATGCAACGCTTGTCTGTTTCATTTGTATGTTTCATATTTATGACGAATGATAAGTATTTCCGTTCTATAAAAGCAACTGATAATTTTATAGTGTAGAAGATGGACATATATACACTGAACCAAACTTCTTAGTGTTCACCTAACATTTTTTTTAGTTTTAAAGAACAAATGCATACCTTAAATAATTTCTTTAATTCATGGTTAATGATGCATATTTTAGTTCGATGTTGCGTAAATTTCATGTAAGTATCTCGTCAGAATTTTAAGCAAAGTATCATGGAAATTAAGTACTCTCAAAATGAAAATTCACACAAAATAATCTCTATGTAGTAATTTCTGCACACCATCCTTACTGATGGATACCATGTACCCCTGAATCGGATTATTGACAATCTGCTGTTGTCAAACCTTCTGTATAGATCTTTTCAAACCGTTGAAATTGGGGGGGGGGGGGGCTTTGACATTCCTTATAAAACTTCCAAATGTGTTAAATGTTAATCAATACTTATCATTCGTCATCTACAGAATTCTATGGAGAGCGCTCATGGTTTGTTTAGTTGAATATTTTCTGACTTTATTCTAAATACGATATATGTAATATTTTTCAGTTTTTTAAAATGTTTTTAAAAAGTCCATGTTAGAGATTAAAAAACATCTCGTACAAATGTTAAAAGTGTGTAAAATGTCAAACGTATTATTTTATTTAGCATCAATACAATCGTTATAATAATAATAAAAAAAAAAAAAACATTACAATTTAATATTTCAAAACTTGGCTACAAATTCTTAATTATAATTATTATGAAATATTCTTTGAACATTAAGACTTTGAATATGATAAGAACATACATTTTCTAGAACAAAGCCTAACCAAAATTTACTAAAATTGTAAAAATAATATAATGAGGAATATTGTCTAGATATTTTTTGAATGACCCCAGCATTATAAAGTATGACAACAGTACTGTTCTTTTTTCAGAAATTATTGGTATTTAACCACTAAAGGTTAAATCTATTTATCAGAGTGAAATAAATATTTATGGTCTGGTGGAAAATGCATCGGGTTCATTGGACAATCTGTACGGTATGTATCAGTTCCATTTATAATTTGGAGATATTAGTAGCACCTAGCAATTAGGGAACTCTGACGTCACGGCACTTATTCGTCATCAGTTTGTGCTGAAACTTTTACCCACCCTCCCATTCCTTTCAAACAAAGGTCGACTAGGATTTTTAGAATTGTGTGTTAAGTTCAATATAAACTGGTCATACATGGTTCACATTTTTTTGGTTTCTCCGAAGTTTTGTTTACAGTTTTTTGTCTCTCCTTTTCCTTTTTCCTGCCGAGTATTTTTTATCGTTTCAAATTGTATTTTTCAAGCCCAGCTGCATCATTACAAGGGATCCCTCGTTACGGCCACCTGATTGTAGCAACCTTACATACCAGCAGTTCATGCAAGTCATGCGTATATTGGGCTTACCAGTAGGCTCATTGAACTCTTTTTCAACATTTTAACAGATGTTTTTAAGTGTGGACTAGTCAGTGGACATCTGTGCCCAGGGTTCACATTTTCTAAGGATGCCATTACAAAAGGCACTATATAATTATATCAATAGTGGTTGAGAGTGCATTTCAATAGCAAACATAGCTCCTATTGAAATAATTATATCAATAGTGGTTGAGAGTGCATTTATTGCTATTGAAATCCACTTCAACCAAATTGATATAACACTAATCACTATGTTTGCAAAATACTATTTTTATAATTATTTCAATAGTGGTCGTTATTTCAATAGTAGTTGCAACAATGCCATTACTAAAGGTGGTATATCTCTGCTTTGCATTGAAGGTTATTTATCATCTACTATTGTTATTATGCTGTTTGGATAATTCAACTAGTATTTTTTTAAGGTTTCATCTTTGATAATGAAGAAATTTTAACACAGAGAATAGAACGAGTACAATGTAATAGTTTATCAACACGAAATAAAATAAAAAAAATATGTGGTGTGTTTGAAAATAATATTTAGTATATCATACCTAAATACTTTAATGTTAGAAAACGTAATAAAGCGCTGCTTACGAAGTCAGAATATCAAAATGTTGTAATTGGTTATAAGAAATGAATACATTTTTGTGCAAGAGTAAGGTTTAGAAATATTTTTAGTTATAAAAAAAAGAAATACAACAAAATAATGCTTTATTTTGATGATTACAATCTAAGGCAAATTATTTGTTTCATAAGTATCTTTTTTTAAAAGTGTGTTAGGTATCTCCACAGTAAAACAAAGAGCATCCTCTTAATGCACTTCAAAAAAAATTCTTATTCAATTGTTGTTTCTCAAAATTAACATATTTTGAAAAAAAATAGAAACGAAATTTAGAAATTTCTTTTTGATTTTGTGCCGATTTTAACGCATTTTGAAAAAAATTAAAGTGCATTGCCACAATGCTTGTATATCATAAGTTTATAACCATGATTAATAATCATTATATATAAACCAACAACTAAACATGATTTCGGTGCATTACATATATATATCTCTTGAGTATAGTCCATCTTGTCTGTTCATCATTCAAATGAGAATTAACAAATGTTCATCTAATATGTTAAAGTCTCTTAAATTACATGTTCAGGTCTCTAGAATATTGTATCAAACTTCAAGTTCACAGACCTGAAATAAGATATCGTGAAATAATCTAATAAACGACCTTGTAACAAGTAGTTGTCCTTGGAAGGAAAAAAGCCTGTCTCAACCCAAAAACAAAAGACATGCACAGGGCTTAATTATTGCCAAAATATAGCTGAAGTATTGCTGACATTAAGCAATCAATCACTCTTGAGTAAATGCTTTAATCACAGCGCCATATAGGTGATCAACTAATATTTTACATACGCAGCTATATTACATGATATGTAAGGTTTTCAAAATGTGTAAATTTTGTTACAATTTACATGTATTTGTATCTAAGTTTGACTTCACTTGTTAACTTGATAGGTAAATTAAAGCCAAGTGCAAAACAGAGTGTGAAGACATAACGTTGTTTCTAACGTGATGAACCCTGATAAGAAGAAGGTATGGTTTAAGCTTTATGTTGCCCTAAAAATGTAATGCCATCAAAAAGTTATGAAACTAGCTTAAATATTAGTTAAGTATATGACTTTGATAAATCAGGAAAGAATATGGCACAAAGAATTACCATTCTGCACATATGACGTCATAAATGTGATGTATTTTTGTATTTTTAACAGAAAAAAGCCTCAAATTAGCCAATCTGAATGGTAATTTTCCTTTAGAAAATAGTGTCCACAGCCGTCGCCCACTTTAATTTTTTGATATGTGCAAAAAACAATAAAAAAAAATCACACATCTCAAAATCTTTGTGGGCAATGCCTTTGGACAATATTTTCTGAAAGAAATTCCATTGAAAATTGGTGTCTTCTGCAACTTTTGAAGAAAATACGGGGAAATGCACATGTTTATGACGTCACAATTACTAATTAAAACACGTGTGAGAAAAATTTGTATGATTTTTACTGCATGGAATTTCGATGATTCAGAAAGCATTAGTTTTTATCTTTTACACCAGTTTTAATTTTTAGAAAACCATAGGGCAAGATTTGGATAAAAAACAATACCTTGTTCTTTGTTCTTTAAAAGTACAAAAGTCGCATTGACACAAATCATTAACGGAAATACATGTATACGGATCAAGTTTTGTACCATATATTAGAATTAAGCGTATCTTATTCTACATGAAAAGTTCCTGGAGAAAGACTAAATTTTGCAAATAGAGTAAATATTTCATGAGAGTAACGTTGCAACCTACCTACATACATGTAGGACATTTTCAACAATACATTGTACTTTATTCAAACTAGAGATGGTGAACTTAAAAAAAAACTTTACGGACAACAAAATCAAGCCGTGTAACGAATTGTGACATTTTTGCACACGTCAAAAATAATTTTAAAAACCAAACAAACGAAAACTTACGTTCTATTTTTTTTGTTTCGAAATCATATTAACTATTGGTAGCTTTCAGTCTGGTAGACGTCTTTGTAAAGAGATTCATGGTGAAGTTCCTTATCAGCTTTAACCTTTTCTGTCGCAGTTTTGACCTCATCTACAACTTCTTCCACTATAAACTAGAAAATAAAGAAAATAAACGACTATCATATTGTAAAGTTTGAATTTACAATACCTGATTATAGCTTCATAATATAGCCTTCTTGAAGTTTTGAGTCGGGACATTTGTAGCCAGAGAGTCGAGAGAGAGTAACCAAATAATTTACACGATGTCACCTGATTCAGTCTTAAATGTTTTGAAGGTCCTTATTTGCCCTGATAATGTCTCATTTTACTTTTAATTCGTTTTCGTCTGTCAGGTTTTCATTCAAAATCTTCTTCTTAAAAATCTCTATGGGGTCCCGTGTTTGTCTTATATGTTCTATTTCGTGTTTTGATCTGTAACTTTATTTAAAGGGACAATAATAAGTACGTTTGAACTTAAGAGAGATCTAAAATTATTGAAATTCTAAGTATGTTTGTCAAAACATAGAGACAAAACATTAAGTTACATTAAACAACACTTCTCCTTCACAAATTCTTTGTAATGCTTTTTCTGACAAAAACACAAACTACAGTGTACTTTAAAATTAAACTACAGCAAATTATTCTCGCTTATTTTGCAATTTAATTTTCACTTATAATGATTTCAGTTATGAAAGAATTTAAATGCCAGTTTTGTTTTTCTGTATAAATGTGTACATTTACAGCTTTTTTTCGACATCTTCTATTCTGTGTTAAATGATATGCTGTAATCTTTCTCAAGGCCTTCATCCTTTGCACTGTGTCCACTGTACCTATATGACATCGTTTCGACTAGAATTGGACCATTTTCTAAGGCGTATCTTTTGGCAAAAACAAAGGCTTCTCGAACAGCTAGCACATCCA